GGGGGGGCAGCCGGTCTGTGTTGTAATTTGTCTGCAGAAGCACCTTCCCCCTCTGCCCTCAATCCAAGGGGACAGGTACGGAGGTGCAAAGGTTGTTGTTACCTGGGTGCCTTTCCCCTTGGCTTGTGAGCTCGGAGATGTGGTCTCTGCTGTTGGACCCTTTTAGGAGCCAGGGGGGTTGCAACACCCGAGGGTGTGCGCAGCCCAGGGCTGCAGAGCTTCCCACGCGGCGAGATGCTCCTTGTCGTAGCTGAAGGCGGGCGGTCAGGGGCTGGTGGGTGAATGATCATCTCTGGTGAGGGGATTGCAGAGGACACTGGCAGACACATGTGCTCTTGGGTCCCTTAACTGTGGTCTGATCCCTGGAGTAATGCTATTTGTTCGGGTTTCAAGTCTGCTTTTGTGCCCTTTTCTGTCTCCAGTTTCCCCTCCTGCCTGCTCTCAGCAGGGTGGGGGTGCTGCAGCCCCCTTCCCTCGCTGGGAGAGCTGTGATGGTGCTGGTACGGGGCTCACCTGTAACCTGGGCTCCCGCAGCCTGCGGTGGGGTGTGAGCACCACCCTTTCCTTTACATTGGCTTCATGGTTTCCTTAGTCTTTGCCCTATGCCATCCTTTCTCCATCTGTTTTATCACGTTTTCCCCTCTGACTCCCTGCAGGTGGAAGACAACCTCCCTCCAGAGGTGGTACCCGCTCAGCCAGGGCTCTCCTGGACTGCCGCATCGACGGCAGGTAAAGAAAACGAAGCGGCAGGTTGCAATCACCCCGACAGGCTTCTCTGCCCGCGGAGTTGTGCTGCCTCGGGCTGGGAGGCAGCTCCCTGCTCCCTGGAGCATTTCTCAGCAGCTGCTCCTTGCTCCTTACCTACCCCCAGAGCTTCAAAATTTTGCTCCTGCCCCCATGCATCCCTCCGGTGGGGGGGCTGCCGGGGATGGGCTGCAAACAGAGGGGCTGATGCTCATGCCCTTCATATGAAGTCTGAGTAATTGAGCTGAATTACTGCAGCTTCAGGAGTCCCCTGTGGGTGCTGTGGGATGAGGAGGGGGAGCGGGTGGTAGGATGAAGCATGTGCCTCCTGGCCGAGCCTCGAGGGAGACGGCCCCGTTCCCAGGCCAGACCTCTGAGGATGCAAACCGGAGCCGAACTAAGGGGATTTCACACCTGCAGAGCGAAAGATTTGGGAAGGAGCTCGTCCCTCTGCATGCCAGGCTGCGGCATGCCTGTTGGCAGCGTGTCCGTCGGGATGTCCCGTGGAGGAGAAGACAGTGGCTGGTGACTCATTGGTGTCACCTCACAGCCACCTCGGTCAGCAGGACACCCCGGCACAGCCTGCTGCTCCTCACGGCTGCTCGGATCTAGCGTTCTGCTGGGAACGCCGGCACCGATGGGTGGCGAATAAAGGCTGGTGCAGACAGGATAAAACACAAAGTCCTCCAAGCCATTTCTTCCTACCAGCTTTCCCTGCTGCTGCCAAATTCCTCTTCAAAGAGCTCTCCCAGGCAGTAAAAAGGATCATCAATCCTGATTGCCTTCTGCTGCTATCACAGCTGAGGCTATGATCATCCTTTCCTGGAAAAAAGTCGCGGGTATGATGGGATGGCTTCTCCGAGTGGCCAGGTCTGCTCCATGTGGTCTCAGCAGCTCACTTTCCTGATGCTCGGCCCTTTTGTTCCTTGAGAAGGCCCTCCAGAGCCACCATCTGAGGGACCTGAATGCAGAGAAAGCTGGCTTGGTGCCGAATCCATCCATCCTGGAAAGGCAAAGCCCAAAGAGAGGTGCTAAGCTGGGATCCACGTGGTCACAGTGACCTCCCTCTCTGTCCTTACACCCTGGGCTGTCCTCCTGGACTTTTTCCGGCTGAGCTTGCTGGGCAGCGTGGAGTCCAGCATCCATCCTCCTCCCTGTGGATCTTGAGCATCTCCAGGCTGCGTGGGAGCAGCTCACGGGTACAAAGCCAACCCTGACCGGGCTGGAGGCGATGCCAGCAGGTAAAGCAAAGCATTTTGTAGCACCCCATCCGAGAGGTGCCATAATCTGTCCCCAGGCTCACGGGGTCCAAGTCCTGCCTGGTCGTGTCTCATGGTGATGGGAGAGAAACTTCCCAGCGCCCAGCATGTTTCTGGCCGGAGGCTGCAGAGCTGGAACAAGCAGGGCATGCACCTGGGACAAACAGCAGCGTGCTGCCTGCACCGTGTCTAACATCAGACAGAGCAACGTGTGTGTTAAATAAAACAAACCCCACCTGCTCAACCTGCCTTTCAAACAACAACAAAAAACCCCAATGCTGAATAAATCTGCCTAAAGCAAGAAACTCATCTGTGGGTGCTCC